CCTTAATTTTGAACCACTGTTTTTGTTATTATGCTTGACTTACCTTCTGCTGCCCTACCTTCCCTTCTCTTAACCAATGTGCATCACACCCTCCTCCTCTGCCTTGCTCCCTACATTATTGTGCACTTGCTTTCTTTGTCTTGTCCCTTTCATTTCCACAAATTCGCCCTTCCACAACCTTTCACCTCTTTTCTTGAAGCCACACCGCCACAAACAATAAAATAAAAAGAACCATACAATAATCAGGAAAGATTTTAGTTTGTAAAACAAAATTTTAAAATATTTAATTAAAAACACAGAACCATCAAGATGTGTGCCAAATATCTCAAGTAAATACAGAATCTTACTACTGTAACTCATGTCTTCCATTTGCAAGATGACCTGGGCCACAGGACTGCCTGTTTTCCCAGGTGTTTAGCTGAAGGTGCTTTTCTCACACAACATCCCATGGAGGAGGCGGAGCCAATCAAGTTCAAAACACCAAGGAGAGCAGGAACCATAAGATGATCTGCTTGGAATTTTAGGCATTAGTGACGACTGCTGGCAGAGATTTTGATTGAATCAGAGGAACAATTCTTGAAGACTATTTTCTTTTCAGCACCCAATGTTATGGGAACAAGTCCCACATGGGAGGAAAAACTGACAAGATCCCCAAACTATCAAACTCATTAACATTATTATTTTTATTATTATTTGAATTGTGGTAGCACCTAGGAGCTCCAGTCATGGACCAGGACCCTACTGTGCTAGCTACTCTCTACTTCTAACATTCAACTCCACACAAGAAGAGAGAGGGATTGGCTTCATGACCAAATTTGCTGACAGACAGAGAATAACTGTAAGAGGGAGCACTCTCTTTTATGTTCTTGGTTCCAAATCACCATCTCCACTTGCCTATCCCTTAGAGACGTTACTGCTTTACATGGTTCTGTGATTTGCGTGGCAGGGCATGTAACTCCTGGACTAGGAATCTGCAAAGCAACTTCACAAAGGACAACAGTAATACATGCCAAGGTAAAGCAACAATTCTTTGTTAAGTAAGCCAGCTAGACCCAAATATGACCAGACACTAAACAGTACAATAGGTTGCCCTTTTTGGTCTGAATGGTTGGCCAATATTTGAGGCCTTGCAGGATGTTTTCATTAGGAGGAGAAATTGATGGTAGAGTCAGGTATTTATTTCATGCAATCCTGTTTATTTACAAAACATGGACACAAACACCTGTTTCTCTGAACACAGTATGCACAAACAGAGCAGGCAGTGTCCCTGCTGTCTATTAGCCTCCCTTCCAGACAGAGCTCTGCCCAATATAATCTCTCTCTCTCAGCTTCCTCTCAGGGTCATGCTATCAGTGCTTCTCTGGCTTTGTCCTTACTTTTCTGGCTGCTTTCTTCTTCTAATACACACAGCTAAAATCAAATTAATACCCCAGCCCCTGCTTTTGCAATCAGTTCCCAGTGAAACCCTCTAATTCTCACCAAGTTAATTCTTTGCTCAGGCCTTTCATTTGGCCAGTGCTTTAGGTGGTGACTTCTAGTGCTCCAGCTATTTTACTACATAATGGAGCTTAATTGTTTTTTCCATTTTGTCCACGTGAAGTGCACCCATCAGGTTCAAAAAGGTCTGGGATTGCCCACAGAGTACACACTTGCTGGAAGCTACCAAAATACTTGGAGGAAGCTACCATGCTCGCTGGTACAAGATCATATATGGAGCAAAGAAGCAAGACCTTTCCACTTAGACATGTATCCTTCCGAATCCTCTATTATAAGAAGCCAACAACCACTAATTCATCACTGATACTTTTATTACTATTTCCAGTCCTTCCATCTTCTACAATCTCATTTGTGTTGAGATGCTAAACGCACATCTATAGTAAAGATCAAGTTTCCAAAAAATTACGCAACACAATCTCACTCTTGTGTCCATATGCAGAGGTCTATTCAACCTTGGACATACACCCATGAAATCTGCATTAACATTAATGTGAGGCATGTGTACATAGCCAAGGAAAGAAAAACCCTTTAAGTCTCTGAAAATGAATCATCTTATTTACAAAACTAAAGAAAAAACATCAGTGTTATAAAACAGTAGCAAAGGGAATAGAGTTACTCTTCAACTACACCACCATTAACATTAAACTTGGTTAATGACTTCCTCTCCCAAGTGAATGAACATGAACTTCTCTTAATGTTCATTTCTTCTCTTATAACATGTATTTGAAAACACTTGATTAACTCTTAGAACTAAACCACTAAAACAACAGTTCCTGTGACCTCATTTTGACCTGACTTTGATAGATTCACTTAATGATTAGATTAAAATAGTTGCTAAAGTCTGCAATTAGATAGCTCTCCTATATTGCAAGACAAGCTGTACAGACTTCCCTTACTGTGCCCTTTATTCTATAAGAACTACACAATACTGTACTTTTTATCATGTGAGACTGTTCTGGAGTGAAGGCGGGGGTTCCAGTAGACACAAATCCTGAGTTGAGTCAACAGAAAAAAGACTTTACATACACTATTATAATATTTTATTAAAGTACAGTATTCTGTACCAGTGTAATATTATTTTAAAATCCAATTTACGTTTTACAGTTTCGGTCCTTTACTTTTTCACTCAACTCAGGCTACTTATTCTATGAACCCTGGGTACACAGTCATTTGTGCAACCCACACTAAAGCCTGTGCCACCAAAACCTCAGTGCTATTTTTAGTGAGCTAGCTAGATGAAAGCCTGCGTGGGTATGTCTACATGAGCTGCAAATCTATTTTAATAAAGAATCTTATTCCTTTTACTTCGTTTGCCATGATGCCTTCTGCACATTTGCACAGTTCCTCATTTTTCTCACTTATACTTCATTTATTCTCTGAAGAATGTTTTCCATATAGTAAATATATAAAGTACAACTTTTTTCAACTTAAATCTATCTGTGCTAGACATTTTAACAACAGGCTGATAAATATTCAACCATAATATACACAGTCATTTCAGCGGTAAAAAGATGAAAGTCTGCATTACTTCATTCAGGAAATGAAATGCAGGTTTCGGTGATTTCATTGCAATATCCTTTAGTACATGTAACTTATTTAAGTTATGCAGTGGGTTATTCAACAAGCAAGTGATGCAATGACTTGCACAGATAAGTTACTGCACACTTTACACGGTCATGGAGCTAATTCATAGTGACAAGCTGTTCCGTTATAATCATACCTCTCAAGGGCTCTACAGTCATAAGTAGAGAGCTCTGAATATTATTTAACAGTTAAAAACTGCTCTACCGTTCAGCAGAAGTTTGAATTTTGACTCTTGTGAAACCTAGCTACTTCAATGTTTATTAGGGCTAATACCAGGCTTTCTTCTCTCAAGGCAAAAAACAGCTCCATGGGAAACTTTAATTTAATACAACTTAAAACAAAACTAAAGACAATAGGGATGAAGAAGGCTGGGGAGGGGGAAGAGATGGGGAGAATGATGCAGAAAGTGAAGGAACATTCAATAGGATACCCCTGGTCTCTGAGAGCATGGAGTGGGAAAGGAATGTGAGTGAATATATAAAGAAAGGTTGACTTGTCCAACTGGACCTTCTTTACTGGCTTATGCTGTAAATCCTACAGCTATCGTGGGAATTGCATCCAGTTTCAAATTTTCTGGAGTTCATAAATAATAGGATCAGATGTTTTTTTTTAGAGTCCAAAATGATTATAGTCTCTTGCATTTAGCAAGCTTGTATTTAGACACCACCATCAGTGTTCTTATAGGAGAAACTGGCCCAAATTAAAGAAAAAAGAAAGAATACAACTAAGAATATTTCAGCACTAAAGGGCTAACATAATACAATACTTGTAGCCGCAGTGTGGCATTTATCATTGTTTTACACTAAATGGCACCACAGAGAAGAGAAGAGCATTGGTCAAAAATAAATAAATAAAGGGTAAGATGATTGACAGTCTGAGGGCAGAGCACAGATACTCTTGCCCAAACCAAATACTCTCTATATTTCTGTGTTTCTAAGATTCATGCATTTAAAGGCCAGAAGGAACTATTGGTATCATCTAGTCTGATCTCCTGCACAATGCAGGCCACAGAACCTTACCTAGTAACTTTTTCATAAAGCCCATAGCTTTTAAGCTATAGCATATTTTTCAGAAATATATCCAGTCTTAATTTAAAGACTTCCAGTGATGGAGAATCCACCACATCCCTAGGAAAGTTGTTCCAATGGTTAATTACCCAAATTGTGAAAGACATGCACCTTATTTCTACTCTGACTTTGTCTAACCTTTAGTTCCCAACCCCAAAGGTACTGGTTATATTTTTGTCTGCTAGATTAAAGAACCACCTACTATCAGAAATCTCTTCCTCATGTATGTACTTGTAGACCATGATCAAGTCACCTCAAACTCATAACATGTTCCAGTGCTGTCTTGATTTACAAATTTAGTTCAAAGTGTTTGCATCAAGGATGCCCAAAACGTAGCTGGAGGGTCAATGGTGGCCCACTGAGTCCTAAAATCTTGCTTGTGGCTGTCCTCTCTCTAACTACAGGAGGACAACAAAGGTGATCAGCTGCAGGTTTTTCTAGAGGGTGAATTGAAAAAAGCAACAATTTCTATTCATCTACCTCAGAAAATATAAGTACAAGAAACATTATGGATGTGTACATTATTTTGATCTAAAAAGGCCCACAAATTTATTTGTTGGTGGCAAGTGATGAATGAATTTGGGTACCCCTGGGTTATGCACACTAATGCCAACATGTGCAGCTTCCAGAACCTCGGGGCAAGTTACTGGAGCACTTTCCAAGAATACATTTGGTAATTTTATAAATCAGATCTATCTGCATAAATCATCCCTCATTCTCAAATTGCAGTCAAGATTTTGTGTTTTCAAAAGTGTGATGGCCACATCAAAAATACATAGTCATTAAATAAAAATAGCCAAAGCTGTTAAATTGTTTCCTGTAAAAAGAAAAAAAAGGCAAACAGCTACTCACTGTGAACAAGGAAGCAAAAATCTTTCCACATCAGCAACAGTGTGAGCTTTGTGAAGCCCTCTGCATCATATTCCACCACACCACTATAAAAACAGAAATATAAAACAAGGACACATTTGTACACAATATTCCTTACAATAATAAATGATAAGCAAATAAATATTGGGTTAAAGCAAAGGAAAATACCCAAGATTTTACTTTATTTACTATCTACTATTATGTTCTATCCAAATGCAGGCTGCATGTGGCTTCTCTCAAATGGAATAATGGAGCTTCCATCTGAGGAATGGCCATCGTCGGTGTAAACAAGATACTTTTTAAAATGCAATCAGCTCTGCTAATGGCACTTGCAATTGAAATTCAGTAATAATTGAACGTATCTACCAAAAACTGTATGTTACTCAGATGGAGATCATTAATACACTATGACACTGAAGTTATATATAAAAAGCAGAGACCTTACTGAAAATCTAGGGACCCATGTCATAACATTGACTTCCAATAATCTAGGTGGAGTCTAAATCTGACAATTTATACATCTAAAATATACATTCAAAATCCACAAATTGTATTTTAAATTTAAAGAAAAGCTTTCACAAGGACTATTTTTACTTACGTAGAGAAAAAAAATTCATATGACAGCTGAATTAATATCTTCAGCCTTGATTCCTGATTATCTTATATTGTTAAACACTCAGGCTTGTCAAATTACTGTGATGCTGTTTGTTGCTGTTGTTATTGTTATTTTTGCTGCTGTTTTTTTAATTTAGTTTTTGTATATTGTAAAATTTATCATATTGTCATAAATAATACACAAGGAGCTAAATTCTGATTAAGTTGCTCATGCAATTCCCCCCACCCCCGAAATGGATTAAGACTATGATAGCATCAGAGTATGTAAACTGCAATGTTTCAGTATACTAATTTGTTACGTACTATGTGCTTTTCATACTTATATCATCAACTTTATCTTATCGACCCTGGGATCAGATGGTGTCTACCGTTATGTTTAAACCACAGCAGAATGTTAGCACAGTTTACTTGGTCATTATGGAGATGGATTCTTTTTGTCTTGAGAACTGTGTTATAAATCCATTGTACAGATGGCGGGTTTTCTGTAGCACGGATTTGGATTGAATAATTCTCAGAAAAGAAATCATGTTTTTAGTCAGACCAGTTCTCCAATGTCTGTACTAACTTCTGATTTGCACGACTGATATCGATCTATAAAGACTTATATGGTTTGGATCCATAAGAGATTACCTCTTTCCTTAGGTGTCACTGTGCCACCTGAGAGCATCTGGGGTGCTCCTCCTTACAGTCTCTCTATAACCATCCAGCCATTCATTTTTTGATGTGCCTATTGCCATAATATTTCTGTGGTCATGCTGTACAGAAATAAGGAAACTTCAGTTTCTTCATAAAGGGATGAAAACTACTATCTCCTCCTCATTTTAGGTTACTTCCTGAGTTGAATCAATGTGGTGGCTGGCTTCCAGGAGGAATAATTCTGGATTACTTGCTACAATCACTACTACGAGAAGGCCTATGTGCATCATTTTCTGAAGATGGCTAGATGTGGACTCATCCAGTGGAAGTTAATTATATAGCCAAGGGTCATGTAATGAGCATGCTCTCCTGCTCTACAGCAAGTTTTACCTCTAGCTTCAAGTCATCCTGTTGATTGTAGCTGCTATAGTAGGATTATATATAATGTTTCAGCAGAACCTTATAATGAGAGGTAGAATGTCACTGCCTCAACTAACAACCAAGACATCTAACCGTGAATCAGAAAGGTAAAATAATTTTGCTTTTGTTACATGAGAAGATGCATTAAAAGAAGACTTACGTTCCAAAGTGACTCAGGAAAGCGGCAATATACTCCCTTCTCTTATGGTATCCCTGAATAACATATTGTACCTGGGGGGAAAAAAAAGCCAACCCAAAGCTATGAAGACATTTTACAGAAAGAAAAGGCTCCCAACTTTTCATATTTTTCTAGTTTTATTGGAGAAATCTATTTACAGAATATCAATAATGTTGCATGCTACTTTTAGATGCCATGTTTCATCCTAAAGGATCCTAAAATGCCTTTCAAACAAACGGTACACAGGGCTCTCTTCATTCACCTGTAGGTGAATCAGCACCTGGTAGCACTACTGTGCAATAAGAAGTGAAGAAGAATATCATATCCAATTGAAGCAATAGAAAGAACCTTAGATAGGCAATATGTAATTGGCTGAGCTAGCATTTGGCCAGGATGCTAGAGAAACATCCTGTTAAGAAAATTGCTTAGGACCATAATTGTGTGTGTCATCTGAAAAACAGCATATCTAGCAGCTGAGTACTTCCTAACAGTAAGCTGTATTATTGGCTTCAGGCTGACTCAGATAGAAGAGAGCCACCTACTGAATCACCAACACCAAATTCTGAAGAATCCTGAGTTTCCCTTGAAAGTCTTCCATCCCAGCACTGATCCAGACCACTACACTTAGGTTGGAAGATCTGAGTCCATTGAAGAGTCCTTGCTTTACATGAATAGTCCTGTTGACTTGAATGGATTACTTGCAAGATAAGCAAGGTTTGACTCATGATGAAACCAACACCAAAGATGCTAGGCTGAAAGAGTATCTAGTTCCCAACTCATTATGTTATATCTATAGGATACTTCCATTCATAGTCACTTATACAAATCCTACTCTGCTTTTCATAATGGAAACTAACTCTTATAGAGCCTCTTAATGCTGAGTGAAAGAGAGGGGGGGAATATATACTTTATTTGTGTTGGCTATGGTAACATTGGATTTCCTTGGTTGGCAAATGCTTGTGTTAAGTTATTGAAATAACCTTGATACAATCAGTGCTCAGAGCTATGTTATATCCTCTCAAAGTAAAATAATTCTATTTATAAAATAGGACTTATTTCAGTTTATAAAGAAGTGCTTAGTTTGAAGGCTTTGTGTGGGATCTGAAACATTATTTTGGAAAAAGGAAAACAGATGATAAGTTTGCTTAAGTAACTTTGTTTAAAAAAAGGATAAAAACAGTCCTGTGTACTTGTAGGTTTTAAAAACAAAGTAGTTTTAACAGAAAACCACAACAAAACAGCTCTAAAGATAGATTTCTGTATAATTATGGAAATGCATTTTGAAGGAGCCTTTTCTAAAAGACATAATTTAATTTCCTCATTTAAACAAGAAAAACAAAAAAATATGAAATAAAAAAGACAAATAGGGAATCTACAGTAACCAGATTGCTGAATGCCTGGCCCTAAATTACTGTTCTAACTTAAAAACTACATTTAAATCATCTGAGAAACTTTACAAAATACTATACCTAATGAATAAACTTTCTCTTTCGCTTAGACTCTAAGCCAAACAGAATATAGCTTTCTATTAATGGAAAAGGTAAGTGGCTATTACTTTACTATATCAACATTCATCAGAAAAGATGAATCAGTCCATTTGGATGAATTAGCTGAGATAATATCACTGTAACAGGACCTTTTGTCGAGTGCTCACAATCGACAGTAATCTAGGGATAGTTAGATGTCTTTCCATTGAAAGATAAAGTCATTGGCTATATATTGCTATTTATCTAGCAACAGAACAATAATATGTTGGGGTGACATGTTTATCCTAATCTACCTTAAAACAATAAGAAAACTCCTTTAAAACCCAAGAAATGCTGTATACCTACAACTCCCACTGACTTTAATGGGACATGAAAGTGTTCAATCTCTCACAAGATCAGGTATAAGACAGTGTTACTGGAATAGTTTAACTTGCTTGAGTTTGCTTTACTTAAATCATCGGTTGAATAAGTAGAATCCATTGTTTCCACAGTGGTTTCATAAAATTGCTTGTAAAGTACAGTATAACACAAGAAGGAAGGAGAAATTAAGTTCTGTGTATTAACTCACCTTGTTAGTTAGCAGCTGGCACACCTGTGGTACATAGTCAATGAGACAGCCTCCACCTGGAAAGGCTGGGATGTGAAGGGCAGAGGAGCCTCCAAGAGCACTAAAAATAAAATATGTTTATTTCACAATATATCAGATGCTGCTCCTATGGGACATGTTAGTGATTCTTACCTTTCCCAATGTAAAAAGCCCAGCACCACACTAAGAAAAGATTACAAACTGATTTATATTAGCCCTGGATTATGTAATAAATATTAGAGATACAAACCGTAACTTTACCGTATACTACTGCTGACGCCTTACTGACAGCAGACATCTTTAACCAAGAGTATCAAACCCCTCCAACTGGAAGAGTTAAGTGATTGTACTAGGAGTGGCAGACATACCAAGCATCCTCTCAAAGAATAGTTTTAATTTTATTTATTTAACGATTTGTATTATTTTTATCACCATTGTATCTAGGTTCATAGCAGCTTAAATGCAACCAGACATTGCATCTAACTGTATACAACAGACAGTATAAACAGCCTTCCATGTAACACCCAAGCATCCATAAATAACTCACTTATGTCCACAGTAATTAAAAAAGAGTAGTTTCTCAACACCCTCGAGAGCCACTAAATAACATATCCATTAACCCCTACCAAATCCTGTAAGTGTGAGATCAACATCTCATGGTCAAGCATATTAAAGGCATATCCAATAAAATCAACATGAACATCTGACTGGAGCTGGTTGCACTGTTTTAAAATTACATTATGTTCCCTCCTCTTTTCTTGACTAGCTCTATACCTGAACTTTGTCCATCACTAGAAAAAGATCATCTGAATAAAGATACTAATTCTGTCCCTGTACCATACACAGACCAGAAACCAGAATGAGAGAGACCAAGGACAGTGAAAGGAACCCAAAGCTGCATTGGCACCTTTTCAATAGCCTTTCCCATAAAATGAAGATTTGAGGGAGGGCTGTAATTGTCAAGGCCAGAAACTTCATCTGATGGCTTCCTCTGCAAGCAAGGCCATAACCACTTTTTCTTAAAAGTTGATTGTACACCCAGATAAAGGCAATACCAGTTTTTTCAACAACAGACCTAAATCCTTCCCATTGTCTTTTACCAATCATAAGTGACATGAACCTATCTTACAGGTCATGGCTTGTATCTCTCTTTGAACATACAGTACTTCTCTATAAATGAAACTAAGCTATACTCCAAAAGTTAAGATGTTACTTTGTCTCATGCTGTTTATGCATTGCTCCCACAAAAACATTAGGATCCAATAGATCTTCTCTGCAAAGCAAGGTCCTTATCCTACAAAGGGATCTTCTGGCAAGGATTCTTATGCCTTGACAGACTCTTTCTTTGTCTAGGTATAAGGGTCTATACTGGCAAAACCCTTTGAATGATAGAAGCATAAATCAAAAATTTATCATAATGAGATGCACTGAAATCTGTTACTGAAACCGTCTGGAGTCAGCAGACTGTTCACCACATGGAATAGTTCTGTAGGTCTGGACTTTGCAGATGCAAGACTGAATAAGAAAAAGAAAATACTTCAGTGTATATCACAGCCACACAGGAACAAAACTCTTTATGCTGTGTGACAAAGTTCCTCCTCTATCTTGGTGGGTCCTGCTCTTATTGGCGGATTTTCCTGCCTCAGAGATTCACCATGTGGGTTGGGGAACAGCCCAGAGACCTCCCCCTCTGGAAGAACCCACAGTCTAGGTCAATTGAGAGGTTTGGGGGGAACACGGGCCCGCCCTCTACTCCGGGTTCCAGCCCAGGGCCCTGTGGACTGTAGCTGTCTATAGTGCCTCCTGTAACTGCTGCATGACAGCTACAACTCCCTGGGCTACTTCCCCATGGCTTCCTCCAAACACCTTCCTTATTCTCACCACAGGACCTTCCTCCTGGTGTCTGATAATGCTTGTGCACCTCAGTCCTCCAGCAGCACACCCTCTCACTCTCAGCTCCTTACGCCTCTTGCTCCCAGCTCCTCACACTCGCCCCACAAACTGAAGTGAGCTCCTTTTAAAACCCAGGTGCCCTGATTAGCCTGCCTTAATTGATTCTAGCAGCTTCTTCTTAATTGGCTCCAGGTGTCCTAATTAGCCTGTCTGCCTTAACTGGTTCTAGCAGGTTCCTGATTACTCTAGGGCAGCCCCTGCTCTGGTCACTCAGGGAACAGAAAACTACTCATCCAGTGACCAGTATATTTGCCCTCTACCAGACTCCTGTACCCGACTGGTCTGGGTCTGTCACAGCTGTCATTAGTCAAATATAGAGCTGTTTTTTGTCACCAACTTTAGTCTCCTTCTTGGTTGCTTTGTTTGTTGCAGGTCATCTACTTACCAAGGTGATGTGTTGAGAGGTATGGGAATGCTATTTGGCCACTTAAGGATGGTCAGAGACAAGTGGATCATAATGTATTAGCCGGTCATCAAAAGTGTGGTCCGATAGCCAAACTATAATTCCCCTCAGAAAATTCTGAAATTGTATTCAGATTGGAGGAATGAAGCAGGGTTCTCATCCTGACAAGTTAAGAGCGGGCTCTGATCCTACTCTGAAGATGATAATAATCGGGCCATGTCAAGTTTGCAATCACTACTCCCTATATTATACAGATATATCCCCTGAACACTCCTACCCTTAAACAAAGGAAGTGCTATTGCCCAACCCACAGTCTCTCTTGCCTCAGTTGCATCCAAATCTAAGGATCCTCTCAGCAGTGAGATACCACTGGAGATGCTCAAAATAGTACAAAGAAAATCACAGATTCCTCTGTTGGTTCCAACAGACTCATAGACTTAAAGGTCAGAAGAGACCATTGTGATCGTCTAGTCTGACCTCCTGCACAACGCAGGCCACAGAATCTCACCCACCCACTCCTGTAATAAACCCCTAACCAGTGTCTGAGCTACTGAAGTCCTCAAATCATGGTTTAAAGACTTCAAGGTACAGAGAATCCTCCAGCAAGTGACCCGTGCCCCACGCTGCAGAGAAAGGCGAAAAACTCCAAGGGCCTCTGCGAATCTGCCCTGGAGGAAAATTCCTTCCTGACCCAAAATATGGCGATCAGCTAACCCCTGAGCATGGGAGCAAGACTCACCAGCCAGACACCCAGGAAAGAATTCTCTGTAGTAACTCAGATCCCACCCCATCTAACAGGCCATTGGGCATATTTACTGCTAATAGACAAAGATCAATTAATTGCCAAAATTAGGCTATCCCATCATACTATCCCCTCCATAAACTTATCAAGCTTAGTCTCCAAGCCAGATATGTCTTTTGCCCCCACTGCTCCCCTTGGAAGGCTGTTCCAGAACTTCATTCCTCTGATGGTTAGAAACCTTCGTCTAATTTCAAGTCTAAACTTCCTGATGGCCAGTTTATATCCATTTGTTCTTGTGTCCACATTGGTACTGAGCTTAAATAATTCCTCTCCCTCCCTAGTATTTATCCCTCTGATATATTTATAGAGAGCAATCATATCTCCCCATAGCCTTCTTTTGGTTAGGCTAAACAAGGCAAGCTCTTTGAGTCTCCTTTCATAAGACAGGTTTTCCATTCCTCGGATCATCCTAGTAGCCCTTCTCTGAACCTGTTCCAGTTTGAATTCATCCTTCTTAAACATGGGAGACCAGAACTGCACACAGTATTCCAGATGAGGTCTCACTAGTGCCTTGTATAACGGTACTAACACCTCCTTATCTCTACTGGAAATACCTCGCCTGATGCATCCCAAGACCGCATTAGCTTTTTTCATGGCCATATCACATTGGCAGCTCATAGTCATCCTGTGATCAACCAATACTCCGAGGTCCTTCTCCTCCGTTACTTCCAACTGATAAGTCCCCAGTTTATAACAAAAATTCTTGTTATTAATCCCTAAATACATGACCTTGCACTTTTCACTATTAAATTTCATCCTATTACTATTACTCCAGTTTACAAGGTCATCCAGATCTTCCTGTATGATATCCCGGTCCTTCTCTGTATTTGCAATACCTCCCAGCTTTGTGTCATCTGCAAACTATTAGTTCCACTTTTTGTGCCAAGGTCAGTAATAAAAAGATTAAAGAAGATTGGTCCCCAAACCGATACCTGAGGAACTCCACTAGTAACCTCCCTCCAGCCTGACAGTTCACCTTTCAGTATGACCTGTTGTAGTCTCCCCTTTAACCAATTCCTTATCCACCTTTCAATTTTCATATTGATCCCCATCTTTTCCAATTTAGCTAATAATTCCCCATGTGGAACTGTATCAAATGCCTTACTAAAATAGAGGTAAATTAGATCCACTGCGTTTCCTTTGTCTAAAAAAATCTGTTACCTTCTTAAAGACATAAGAGAATCTCTAACAGTTTTCAAATGCTGCTTCTTTTCTTATATTGCTATGTTGCAATCCATTTTCCAGACTCTGAATGATTATTTTAAATTTGTGACCAATGGCTTGTCTACACTAGAGAGTTTTGCCACTTTAACTGTAACAGTTACAGATAAAGTGGCAATATAATTCTCTACTATGAATGCAGTTATACCAGTATAAAAGTGCCTATACCAGTATAGATTATTCTGGTTCAGGTACTGAAATAAGCGATACCATTTTAAGACACCTTTATACTGATATAACTGCATCGACATTAGGGCTAATACCAGTATAGATATACTGGTAAAATATAACACCTCGAACTGATGTAGTTATATCAGTATAATTTTTCTAGTGTTGAGCAGGCCTAAAAGTGTCTAGGAAAATCAAAGCCTGCTTAAAACAGCAGAGATGGAGCTAGCCCGCCAAACCACGAAGACAGAGATGGAAGGCAGAAGGTGGTGTAGTTGTTTTGCTGCTACCATAAAGATTCTCAGTCTGCCTGAGAAACATCTTTGCCTTACCGTTTCTAAGGAGAAAAATATGTTGCCCTTTCACCATAAAAATATCTTACAAATGTTCTCCTTAATTACTATTCGCTGATTTCATACAAGAGGAGTTTTCCAGTCTGGATATATTTTTAATTTGAACTAGTGAAAAGAGATTTAAAAAAAACTCCTTTAGCAAATGAAATCCCCATTAAGCATACGTGACACATACTAAGAAT